TCTTACTAACAAAGGTCATGTCTACCAACTGTTCCTTGCCCCTTTTCTGACGAAGATCATGTCTACCAACTGTTCCTTGTCCCTTTACTGCCGAGGGTCATGTCTACTAACTGTTCCTTGCCCTTTTACTTACTAAGGTCATGTCTACCAACTGTCCTTGCCTCTTACTAACAAAGGTCATGTCAACCAACTGTTCCTTGCCCCTTTACTGCCGAGGGTCATGTCTACCAACTGTTCCTTGCCCCTTTACTGACGAGGGTCATGTCTACCAACTGTTCCTTGCCCCTTTACTGACGAGGTTCATGTCTACCAACTGTCCTTGCCTCTTACTAACAAAGATCATGTCTACCAACTGTTCCTTGCCCCTTTACTGACGAGGGTCATGTCTATCAACTGTTCCTTGCCCCTTTACTGACGAGGGTCATGATTACCGACTGTACCTTGCCCCTTTACTGACGAGGGTCATGTCTACCAACTGTTCCTTGCCCATTTACTTACGAAAGTCTTGTTTACCAACTTTTCCTTGTCCTTTTACCGACGAAGGCATGTCTACCAACTGTTCCTTGTCCCTTTACTGCCGAGGGTCATGTCTACTAACTGTTCCTTGCCCTTTTACTTACTAAGGTCATGTCTACCAACTGTCCTTGCCTCTTACTAACAAAGGTCATGTCAACCAACTGTTCCTTGCCCCTTTACTGACGAGGGTCATGTCTACCAACTGTTCCTTGCCCCTTTACTGACGAGGGTCATGTCTACCAACTGTTCCTTGCCCCTTTACTGACGAGGTTCATGTCTACCAACTGTCCTTGCCTCTTACTAACAAAGATCATGTCTACCAACTGTTCCTTGCCCCTTTACTGACGAGGGTCATGTCTATCAACTGTTCCTTGCCCCTTTACTGACGAGGGTCATGTCTACCGACTGTTCCTTGCCCCTTTACTGACGAGGGTCATGTCTACCAACTGTTCCTTGCCCATTTACTTACGAAAGTCTTGTTTACCAACTTTTCCTTGTCCTTTTACCGACGAAGGCATGTCTACCAACTGTTCTTTGCCCCTTTACTGACGAGGGTCATGTCTACCAACTGTTCTTTGTCCTTTTACTCATGTCATGTCTACTAACTGTTCCTGGCCCCTTTACTGACGAAGATTATGTCTACCAACTGTTCTTTGTCCCTTTACTGACGAGGGTCATATCTACCAACCGTTCCTTGCCCTTTTACTTACTAAGGTCATTTCTACTAACTGTTCCTTGCCCCTTTACTGACGAAGATCATGTCTACTAACTGTTTCTTGCCCCTTTACGCTTCAGACACTTTATTTCATAATCTGTTAATTTGTGTCAGATAATTATGAAGAATATATACCAAGTAATTTGATTTGTAAATTAGACCGCTATCGATCTGGTGATTATAAGTCTGGGTTATTAATATTACCAGAGACAATAGACGCCGACATCTACCAATCAAGCCACCATCGGATCCTACTTCGCGTTTTTCATAACTAACGTGGCCGTTTTAAAGGGAATATGAAAAGGTTTTCTAAATTTTTCATGTGTATCGGGGATATTGCTAAAATAAATTTGCACCATTCCAAATTTGGATTAGACATCAGTGGTCCCATCAATTCCAATAAAACCATTTGACTTTATATTGTAAGAACGTAAGGATCTGTTGGTCAGCCAATAATCCAATTTCAATGAATCCCTGAGCAAATACATATTTATCATTACCATATATCCTTATACACTTGAATTACCAGTGTCGGTTAATATAATCAATTAGCTTGACCAAAGTCCAGCCGGTGCAGCTGAGGGAGAGGATCGCTCAATATTACAAACTAGCTGTATTTTGTTTTTACGGAAAACCAGGCAACCGGAACCGACAAAACTAAGGCTCTACGTGGACAGAGAAACATGCTTAAGAAGCTATGAACGCAGAGAGACCAACAAAATACACTTATTTAATTTTCAATCTCGCTAACAGTTCAGAAAAATTGATTAATTACCTCGTAGGCAGCTCAAACTTTACCAGATTTATAAAATGAAATTATAAGATGTACGTCATTAATTGTACTGTACTTTTAAAGGGACTGGTTTGCCATTTTCGGAGGTTGATTTGGGTCTTACATATACGTAAATAGTCTTCAAAAGTACTAGAAAAATGTACCAAAATAGCATATTTCCTTTCAAAATACCACAAACTAGAAATTTCACCCTTTACTTCTATATATGGCATTTCTATATATCACAGAGTATCTTTAATTGACGAATCGTCTTTTTGACTTTTCAACGCGGATAATTTTGAATGTACATGTTTTTGAAGGCTCAAATTTCGATGGTGAGCTGTAAACATTATTACTGATTAGCTTAGCTAAAACCTTAAAGTTTCTGTACGATACGATCGGTCAAAAAGATGGCGCATCTGTCACACAAATGCTTTCCACACATCTTTTTTGGGGTTTGTTGTGAGGTTCTTATTATATAATTGTACTTTTTTGTACGGATAAATCATTATTATTTATTACCCTAATGATGAATACAATGTTTGAATGAATATTACTGATGGACGATACTAAATGTGATATTTAATGAATGTTTCATTGTATATTATAAACCATCTTGACCAATATGATGTATTCATAATTACGCACATCGACTTAGTCAAGCGGGTTGATCGATATCCTGTATGTTTCAGTCCAGAAATCTGTATTATCTACCGCTGCTAAAGGAACATGGATATCCTGAAGGTCCAGCGTGATATCCTTGCATTGATCGAGATACCGTACCCTCGGAATTGTCAGGATCGGAATTGATAAATCGCTTCGTTCGGATCGGACAGCAACCCTACGATAAAAATCTTTAAAAAAAAATTACAGGTTAGAAAATGATTTATTTTCTTCACCTCCTGGATTTTTTTTTCTGATGCAAGAAGATTGAGACCAAACTTTCATGAGATTTCAGTATTTGACAATTTTCATAGATACATGCTTACTCTTCTTGACACCTGATACCACTATTCGTTATGAAATGCTTACTCGCTTATTATTGATATACTTCCTCATGTGAAAAGCTGCTGCCAATGTTTTGCCAGTGTATTGTTATGATTTTGGGTTTCGTTTTGCGGTTAGAATCGTAAGTACTTAGTTTATTTATACAAAGAAATCATGACAGTATATCTAACTACTGTATATCTACATTATGACGAATTGGTATTATAGAATTTAGCTTCAATAAGTTCAGAAAAAGTAAGTAAAACTCCTTTCCCAATTGCTGTCAAAAAAATAATATAAATTTACTCACAAGAGCTCTAGTCGCTGTATATTTGTCCAATGTGATGTATCGACTTATGAAGCAGAATATATCAATAACCTTCTTACACGAACTTTTATTTTCTAGTTAATTTATCACACGTTATAAATATTGTTGTCAAGTTGACCATCAAGTGGACAGAAAGTTATATAGCCAAGGGTGGTGCAAAAAGTACAATGTTAGTCAGCGTTTTTAGCAAGTTTACATAAAGTGATTTACCAACGAATTGCTACGCAATGAGTTTGATGTCTTAAAGAGACAAGTAGACCATAATTTTTGACGAATCAAACTGTAGTCTCAGAAACTGGAATTTTTTAGCTGAGCTAATCGGTAACAGTGTTCACATCTCACCGTCGAAATGTGAGTCTTCAAATCCATGTGTGTCCAGAATTATCTGCGTTTGAATGTTACAATGACGATTCGTCAAGATAAGATACTCTGTAATATATATAAAAGACATAGATAGGAGTAGTGAGTAAAATTCATAGTTTTGAGTATTTTTATAGGAATTGTGTGATTGAAAACTATTTGTATATATTAAAGACTAAAATCAACCCCACAAAATGGCACACTTGTCCCTTTAATGGGATTGTAAACAAATTATTTGCACCATTCTAACGGTGGACCCTGCAATCACACTACATTAAGTGTTTGATGACGTCACTAATCTCGAAGGGCGTAAATAAAAGCATATTTTGCGATTAGTGACTACATCAAACACTTAGTTTTAGTGGTATTGCATGAACCACAGACGTCGGATTGAAAAGTTGAATGGTGTGGTGCACATTGATGCTGTCAGTGTCCCAAATACACATTTCTTTACAATCCCTTTAACGTTCAGCACCTGTAGATAATGCGATGATTAGCTTACCATCTTTTGATTTCAAACTACCGAGGGATCCTTAAAGTGCACAATTTGTAGCATACGAGACATCACAACAAAACAATTTCTTACAAATATTCAGCAGAATCCTCCAGCAGCAATAACGAAAGATGCTATGACGAATGTGGCACCAGACAGAGCACGCTTAGTGTATGAAATACTTACTCACTTATGATTGATATACTTCCACATGTGAAAAGTTCATTAACTACTAATAATGTTTCGCTGATATGTTATTTGGATTTCGAGTTTCGTTTTGCGGTTCGAATCGGTAGTTTATATATTTCGAAATCGAAAACTGTTGAAAAACTGTTGGAATTCAAGTGAAATTAACAACCAATACTATATTATATACACTATTAACTAGACCTTTGTACCTCAAATATTTCCACTTCGGTCAACAACTACACAATCGATATTTTAAGTAAATTTTTCGGTTTTTTTTACATCCACCTATTTTAGTATGGCGAAGAGTAGATGAAAAGTTAATAAAAACGTCTCGATCCAGTGATAAAATCAGTGTCCCAGAATATTGTTTAAAGCTAGACCTTTTGTTAAGGGGTATATCGCTATTATCTTGCTATGTATGAATAACATAAGCACATATTAATGAAGGTTTGGTTCAGTAATTTTCAAGAGGAGCATGGTACGATATACATTCATAGTCTCTTTTTGGAGAAGGCTGCACATCTCAGTTCGCTGTAACCACAGATTTAGGGGGTGGGTCATTGAGCCTTGCCTGACACCTCCCTCCCCCAGGACCGTGGAAGGTCTTATTTTGAAGGCTTAAATTCCTGCATTTGAAAGACTATTCTTTCAATGTTATTACACTTTTAAAATGATTTCCACAAAAATGGGATTTTGGATCCGTCACTGATATTTCATCATAAGGAATAGAGTTTCCGCATTTTAAACTTTTCAGTCTCGACAGTTTTACCCCCATTGTGTGAATCTGTCCACTATTTGTACCCGAGTGTCGAGAGGCACCGCCACCTGTAAACATTTATAAGGAATTATTTCAATTCAACGAGTAAATAACAAGATCGAACTAACGTATCAACGAGTGAACTGTAGGGCCTACTTATGTTATACAAGCTTAAAATTTAAAATAATGTGCTCTTACCTTCATATATATTTTGAAAATAGCTAATATTTGTCACAGAGAGCAGTTATTGCTCTAATATAAATAATGTTGTTCTTATATTTAAGTCGTTGTAACAAAATATTCTATATGTTAAACATTCACATACATTATCGATTCCGAACAGATGGTTCAAGAATTGTTGAAATTATAGATTGTTATGTTGGTAGTTTAGGCAGTGTTCAATGAGGTAAATTGTGTCAAATCCTAATTCTACGCTAGTTCGATCTGTGGGATGAACGTTAATTTTGATGAGTACACAGGGGAACTGTGCTTCATGAAAATAACAGTTTACACAACTCATGTACACCAAAAAAACAACAAAACAAAACAAAAAACACAAAACAAAGTAAGAAACAAAAAAAAAAACCTATCAACTGTCGACACAAAGGGATGAATCCGGGAATGCTTTAAGCATATATAGCATTGGTTTTACATTCCGACGGTAACTTTTTTTTGGGGGTGACGATTATGATTTAAGTAGCTCTATTCAGTCAGTAGCAAGAATTTATAGAGGAAGGGGGGTAATGCAATCGATCAAAGATCCGATATCAGAATTCGCCAGAAAAACGTTGAAAACAGGGCTGCATTTCAATTTACAGATGCTCAGCTGTGTACACCGCAAGCTGAGCGGTACAGAGCGACACGCATGGGAAATTCGACTGTATGTTTTACAGCTCGCAGTCAACAGCTGTTGCCCACTGTTCAATTAGCATGTCATGTATGGACTGTATGAAAGATAATCATCCGAAATCGTGTACTTTACCTTGTGCCATTTTCAAATTCAATCATTTTATCAATTTCTTCGAATTTTAATTCTTTACTTGAAAAATCGATAAATATAACTTAAATATAAAAATATCAAATATAAACTGACAAAACTTGTGAGTGTTGCCAATTTGTTTTGGTTGTAAAGTCGTTTGAGTCTTGAAGATCGAATATGCCGAATCGTTGTTATCTCATTGAAAGTGTCATAGACAGGTAAAGTCTGGGCGTCAGAGGCTTCTGTAGGACGAAAAATGGGCGGAATTAGTGATGGATCGTCATGGTAACACACACCAACTTCACTATGTCAAACTTTTACGAACTTTGTCTAACGCCTTGACTGCCGCCTTGACTGCAATATTCACCTTTCTAATATCAAGCCAGTAGCACACGGAGGAAATATATTCTACTGCTTTTGTCATCTCATGAGATGATTCGGAAGGAACGGTGAAATTAATCTTGTAATAGTACTCAATACAACCAAAATGATTTGGTAATACCTGGCAAGTATTATTGACTACTGGCAGAGTACCGACACAGTTTCTTACTTTACATTCTTTTAAATTTTGGATGGATCATCATGGTAACATACACAAACTTCACGATGTCAAACTTTTACGAACTTTGTCTAACGCAATATTCACCTTTCTAATATCACGGTTTTAAATGCAGCACACGGGGTCTCGGTTTATTGTCTCATCCCAACAACTAGACGCTTTTTCCATGTCAGCCCCTCCAACCTGCATCACTGACAGTTTGTAATAGCTTGGCATTGTAAAGATACCATTACATAGAATGACAAACATTTCATTTGCGTACACCCAAATATTAAAAAAACCAACTCACAAAACCACATTTAATCAAAGGAAAAAGCAAAGATCGGAATACTTTAACAACAATCTTACAATGTTATAGAAAATAGTCGATAATTATGGATCTGTTTCACCGTTGTGTGTACACATTTGTTACCTGTACGCACTTAAACTTGAACCGACCAGGAAACCAACAATAGTCAATAAGATAGCTTGCCAGGCAAAGTAATAAACGCCCACTGGCAGCTTTGATTTTGAATAAAAATATGTAGCAGTACAGTAACAATCACCAGTATGAAATATTCAACCTTAAATCATACACTTCTTTTGAACTCTTTAGGGCGATACTAAATAATATTGAGTATGAGTTATTGCCCTTGTTCTTGAAAACGTGTTCAATCTTTAGCTCGTGAAAGCTCAAGTATAACTCGTACTCAATATTTTTCAATTCTTCTGATTTTCAATAGGGTTTATCCTTGGGCGATAACAAACTCTCACACTAAGTTTCATCAAAATCTGTCAAGAATTAATTGTGCCTTCTAGAGTGATTACGAGCTAAAAATGGAACGCTCTTTCAAGAACAAGGGCAATAACTCATACTAAATATTTTTTGATTCTTCTGATTTTCAATAGGGTTCATCCTTGGGTGATTACGAACACTCGAAATCCGTAATGATTTTATCGATTTTCGATAGGCTTCATCCTTGGGTGATAATAAACGATTTCAGCAAGTTTCGTCAAAATCCGTAAAGAATGGTGTCTTGTAGAGTGCTTACGAGCAATTGTGGACGAACCGACATGGGTGACGGCAATATTCGCTCCACATATCTTGTGGGCGTATAAAAATGCACTTCATGCCTTTTTTTTTTGAAAAGTAACTACTTTTTTGGTCTGCTTGATATTCAATGCAAATAGATTTAGGTCATTTGTTGGTCGTTTTTCTGCTCGGTTCCTGGTAGTTTCACGTTTTCTTTGGTCGTTTCTGCTCGGTTCATGTTTTAAAAAAAAAACACATTTAATCACAGGAAAAAACAGCAATGATGGGAATAATTCAACAGCAATCTAATTTACAATGTTATAGAGAATATATAGATAATTCTGGATCTATTTGGCCTTTGTGTACATATTGTTACCCGTACTCACTTACACTTGAACCAGGAAACCAATAATAGGTCAATAAAATGCACTTTTCTCAAATGAATTGGCCTGCTTGGTATTCAATGCAAATAGATTGAGGTCGTTTCTTGGTCGTTTTGCTGCTCGGTTCATGGTCGTTTCCCGTTTTCCCTGATCGTTTCTGGTCGGTTCAAGGTTTAGTAAGTACGTACCACCGTTTATGGCAATCGGGCCACCAAAATACCAATCAAAATTACTACGTTTACAGATATTTGTGTTAGTTTAGTAACAGAGGACGTCGAACCAAGATCCACTTCCCTGTTACCTGTAAAGGTACGGTAGTAACTCAGATCTTTTATTTTCTTCGGGATACTACACCATTCATAGCAGGCAACCCTGTATCTCTTTGTAGAAATGCTCCCAGTTAGATTGAATGCCAAATTAGTATCTAAATACTCAAAATATTGTGTGTATGATATAAGCTGAAATTGAGAATCACACAAATAGTAAGCCATTCTAGAGAGTATAATTAAACCTGTTATCTGATCATCAACTAGAGTTATATTTAATAGCGTTACATTTTTACTATAGTATTTTCTTACATTATTCATACGTTCGAAATTGGCAGCTAACTGAACGAGTTCGGAGGAAATATATTCTACTGCTTTTGTCATCTCATGAGATGATTCGGAAGGAACGGTGAAATTAATCTTGAAAAAGTACTCATACAACCAAAATGATTTGGTAATACCTGGCAAGTATTATTGACTACTGGCAGAGTACCGACACAGTTCCTTACTTTACATTCTTTTAAATTTTGATCGGCATCAAAAGTACAAGATAAATCTTTAACTAAACTCATTTTAGAATTCAGAATGACAAACGATTCTCTATTTTGCTTCCAATTAAATACCATGGAAAAAGAGTAAGATTGAGCCTGTATACCATAAAATATATCGTTCCGTACTGCCGTGAAGCAACTCTCAGTTGACTCTATAATAACATTGCAATTAAGACAAAATTTGTTTTTATACATTGAATTTGTGTATCTGATGGGCGATAATGCATTTTCTCGACAAAAGCGTTGTTCTTCCTGAGTAGCAGAAGGTACACAGGACGATATCATGTTTGGAAAGCATATAATTTCTCTTGAATTAGTTGGAGGGATAATCATTACAGGATTGTTGAATAATTCTACTATGTCTTGCCCACTGTTAGGCCTTTGTCTACGGTTATTGGTTCCAACCATTGTGGACCAATAAACAATGTCGTCTTCGTCTTCACCATTACATAACATACAATGTCGGTTTTTATAATGAAGCTCTGTCCTTTTTGACATCACTTTAGATACAACTACGGACGATCTGGTTTCTTCTTCACACAATTCTACTGTCTTGACAGATACATTGGTTAGAGAACAACTTGTGATAATCTAAATATAATATAAATATTGAAATAATATTAAAACAGTTCTCGCTTCGCCATCTCTGTGTTTTGACTTAATACTTCTTTACGCTCTACAATTGATGTATTTAGCACTATTTTAACTGTGATATCGCTCTACAATTGATGTATTTAGCACTATTTTAACTGTGATATCGCTCTACAATTGATGTATTGAGCACTATTTTAACTGTGATATCGCTCTACAATTGATGTATTGAGCACTATTTTAACTGTGATATCGCTCTACAATTGATGTATTGAGCACTATTTTAACTCTGATATCGCTTTACAATTGATGTATTGAGCACAATTTTAACTGATATCGCTCTAATTGATGTATTGAGCACTAGGGTCCTTTCTACCAGCTGGCCGTTGGCCAAATCTTTTGGCATTGATCTTTCCCGGATTATCCGTACCCATGTTACAGCTTGGTCAACTGGATTTGTAAGTGACGATAACCTAATCATGGTCATCGGACTTTCACACATTTCCATGTTGAAGCGTTTAATAATCGTAGTTGCCTTCGGTCGCCCTTGTTCTATTTTCTGTCTGGCTAAAGAATGGACCTGAACGGATGGAATTTCGGAATAACTATTTTATCGCACTTAGCAGCATCTTCACAATGTCAAATTATTTCAAACTTTGTCTTATACCTTGACTACAATGGCCATCAGAGACTACAGCCAATTGGAGTCTTGGAAATCTTATACAATCCAACCAAATCGCTATATTAACTAACATTTGTGATACAAGAGAGGTGGCTATTGCAGTCAAGTATAAGTACGAAGTTCATAATGGTTTAGCATTGTGAATTGCCATTAGCCATTCAATTCAAATGCAGTGCAGCGCCAGTGTCGGTACAGAGGGAGCACCGACGTTTGCATCACCAATTGTACCCCAACTATATATATAACAAATTAAGAGTTATGAT